GGACTTTGGACTCAACCTGGGACAGATCTCTTATTACACATAGCAGTGGCCAGGCTGCCTCTGCAACTTCTTGCTTATGCTTTTGCCCCTGGTGCACTACTCCCAGGGCTTATAATGTCTGTCTAGACCTTCGGCTGTTCTCAAAGCATCACCATACGCCCATGGGAGACCCCACTGATAAACAAGAGTGCCACTCTATACCACCTACAAGAGAACTGCTATCCCAGGAGTCCCCCCCCATTGACATCATCCATTTAGGTGGCCTCACCCCAATTACACCTCTTGCTACCCTCTACACTACCCATGCCACTGCAACTATACCCCCACCAGCCCTATGGGGGCAGCCCACCATGTAAAAATTTCCTCTGCTAACACCCTCCCCTCACCCCTCACCCAGTTTTGCTTTGGTTATTGGTCTCCTTCCTGAGATCAGAGACAACACCACTGCTCTTCCCACACCCATCCTCAGTTTTGTCGAACCCTGCAGACTATGCCAATTGTGGTGAAATTCCTTCTCGGAGGTGCATACAATGTCCAGCCCCCTCCTCCCTTGGTCCCTATGACAAACCAAGGTACAATTTCACCAAACTGCAGTCTGGGAAATCAGTGAGTTTATTGGGCTTACTTAAGAGCAGTGGTTGAGGGTTTACGTACAGGTGTGTGGTTGCTTAACTCCCCCTAAGGCAGCACTGGAGAGTCTTTATCCAGGCATGGATCATAACCTCCCAAAAGCCATACAAAATGGAGAGAGATACTCCCTAATGCTTCCTCTGTTTATATACCTTTAGTCCCCCCACCCCCTCATGCAAGAGCCAACTGGTTGGTTAGGAGGCGTGGCTGACTCTCCTTGCCCCTCATTTCTTGTAGAGGGTCAACAGTCAACAAGTTTGTGATGCTCCTAGGCAAGCAGGTACAACCAAGCTTGGGAAGGCATCTGCTCATAGTTTTCTGGAGGACAGTCCTATGCAACAGCACCTCTTGTTGGAAAGAAAATCATACTTGTGGAATGAAAAGATAGGAGGTGTCTCTGAAGATGTCTGGTTTGAATATCAAATGATCTTGGGAAATTATTCGTTCTGAAACTCCACTTAAATATTTGCTCTGTGAATAGAAAGGCAAAGAATTGGAATGGCTTAGAATAGACCCATTAGGTATATAACACTAAATTGGAAGAATTTGGCAATGATGATGATGATGATGATGATGATGATAGCAAGAAAAAATGGGATGTTTTACAATGTCTATATGAGAAACCTATGAAATAATCAAAGAAAAAATAGAGAAAAGGTCCATGTTCAAGGATAAGAAAGCTCAATATTGTTAAAATGTCAGTTCTAGCTGGGTGTGGTGGTGCAGGCCTCCAGTCTCAGTCCTTGGGACAGAGAAGCAGGAGGATCAGGAGTTCAAAGTTATCCTTGACTATATTGTGCGTTCAAGGCCAGCCTGAGCTACATGAATACCTGTCTCAACAAACAAACAAACAAGCAAACAAAAACAGTTCTTCCAACTGAATTTAAAGACAATGTAATTGCAATCAAAACCCCTAGTTACACAAAGCAACAAAGGCCTCGAATAGTGGGCACAACACTGAAGAATGAAGTTGGATGACTTATACCACCCGATTTCAATATTTACCATAAGTCTGCATTAATCAAGACAGAATGGTTTTAATGAAATTGATGGACCAATGAAACAAAATAGAAGGCCTAGAAATAGACCTGTACAAATATTATAAATGCTGTTGGACAGAAGGGCAGAGATAATCCAATGAAGAAAGGACCGTTCTTTAACAAATGCTGGTTCAGGTGGATCGCCACATGTCCAAAACACATACGCCAAATCAAAGAAACCACCAAAAAAAATCTAGACACGAATGTCAGCCCTTCACTAAAATGAGCTCAGAATGAATCATAGATCTAAATATAAAGCATAAAACTCTGGGGCTGGAGAGATGGCTTGGTGGTTAGGGTCACTTGCTCTTTTGGAGGAATCAAGTTTGATTTTCTAGTATTCAAATCAGGCAGCTCACAACCACTTGTAGCTCTAGCTCCAGGGGATCCAATACCCTCTTCTTGCCTCTGTGGGCACCCACACTCTTGTGGCAAACACAGAGAGATACACATGCATATACAGAAATAAAAATAAAGGGAGGGAAAGAGAGAGGAAAGAGAAATAATAATACTTAGGTGGTGTGAAAAATCATAGAGAAATGTATTATTTCATAAGCCGCCTAAAAAATACACGTATTATATATGTGAATGTATGTGTATAGCTGAAGGCTATATGACAAAAATCACAGTGTCAGGCAAGGGAAATCTCCTTCAATTGTTGCTCAGGGTAGTCCAAGAGAGTCCTAAAATAACATAGGCTATTGCCCCAGGCCTTGGTTGCCCAGAATTTGAAGGTAAGACCCTATTGATGAAGACACACATACTTTGGACACAGGACTTGGGGCAACTGAGCTGGAACTGATCCTGAAGTCTTCTCCCTGAAAACTAGCTCTCATAGTATCAGAGGGTACTATGCAAGCTGCCACGGGAGAAAAATAATCAGTGGTCCTACCCAACTGTAAAGCCTATGAACCATATGATGACAGGCCCAGAAAATTATCTCTATTGGTGCAACAGTGGCACTTTTATCTTAGAGGTAATCAAAAGCTAGTTCCTGGAGAAAACTGATTCTCACTCCCTTAGCATCCATTGACTGCCTATAGGCTCTTCACCTAGAGGTGGGACCCCATGAAATTTCCCCCATCCATATTGGCATGTCAACTGGTTTTGTCAGTATACAGATTTTGTTAGGCTAGTATACTTTATAGTGTTCATGTACCCCTTATCATGTCTAGAATGCATTAACTAGCAGCAGGCATCTTGGTCCTCTGGCTCTTATAGTCTTTCTGTCCCCTCTTCTGTAATGTTCCTTGAGCCTTAGGTGTAGAGATTGTGTTGTAGATGTTACTGTTGGGGCTGGGTGCCCCCAGTAAATTATTCTCTGCATTTCGATAAGTTCTGAAACTTTGTAATAGTTTCCATCTGTTGCAAAAAGAGATGAATGGGGGCAGGAGAGATGGCTCAGTGGTTAAGAGCACTGACTTCTCTTGCAGAGGACCCAGGTTCAATTCCCAGCACCCACATGGTGGCTATGAACTGTCTTTAACTCTAGTTCCAGGGGAATCCGAAGCTCTCTTCTGACCTCCATGGCACTGCGCAACATGGGTGCGTGCACTCACATACATGCAGGCAACACACTCATACACATAAAATAAAATAATAAAATAAAATATTTAAAGAAAGAAAAGAGATGAATGATGAGAACTACCCTTGTCTGTGGATATAAGGATAAGTATTCAGAATATAGTAAGAAATTATGTTGGCCTAGGGAAGTGACAGTAGTAGGCTTTTCTCTAGGGTCTATGACATCTTCAACCATGTGCACTAGGCTATGTTTACAGTACCATGCATGGATTGCCTCCTCTTGTCTTTTTTTTTTTTTTTTGGTCTTTTTGAAGCAGAGTCTCCCTTTAGCTCCAGCTGTCCTGGAACTCATTATGTAGACCAGGCTGGCCTTGAACTCACAGAGATCTGCCTGCCTCTGCCTCCCAAGTGCTGGGACTACAGAAACTGGAGTTACAGGTGATTGTTAGCCCCCATGTAGGTGCTGGGAACTGAACCTGGGTCCTCTTCAAGAGCAACCAGTGCTCTTAGTCACCAGGCCACCTCTTCAGCCTCCATCATTGAATGTTTTCAAATAAAATATTAATCATTGTCTCTGTCAGTTTCGTGTAGCTAAAATTGAATACTGAAGACTAATTTGTGAAGAATGGAAGTTGATTTGGTTAATGCTTCTAGAGTCTGGGAAGCTCAGGAGCTCAGCATGGGCATCTGGTGAAGGTCAGTAGGCTGCATGGAACAATGAAGGAGGGCAGAAGAGCAAGGGAGCTTGACAGCAAAAAAAGCAAAAAGGGCCAGACTCACTATTATCGGTATTCTCTTTATAAGAAGCAGGGTCTTGCTGTTTGCCCAGGCTGACCTGAACTCCTGGGATCAAGAGATCTTCCTGCCTCATCCTTCCAAGTATCTGGTAAGCACCACTGTGCTGGGCTAAATTCACTTTTAGCGACAAACCCGCTCTCATGATAACCAACTCACCGTCTGTGGGGACAAAGGCTTCAGGACTTGACCTTCAGCTTGACTCTCCAACCCCACTGCACTGGGGATTAGATTTCCAACACAGACACTTTAAACATACATTCAAACCATGGTGGACATGCACACTTTAAGTGAGAACTTTATGGGATACTATGAACTGACCATCATTCATCTGCAAGACTTCGTGGAATTTGAAACGTTTCTAACTATTGGTAAGATTGTGTGCCACATGCTTTAGCTCAGAAAGGATCATCAGCAAACAATAAGAAATCTCCTGCGTTGTCCTTGGATGTCAAGGACTCTGACTTTATAAGATTTAAGTTGTGGTAGAAAAGATGGTGAACTGAAGGGCTAGCCTTGCTGCGGCTGTGCTCCTGCAACTGAATGTGAGGGGCTAAGCTCGTTGATAGATAGCATATTCAAATGCACAGTGATTTGAAGGGGGAAAGATGAGAGAGCATACCTGCTTCCTGCAGGACCAGGAAGGCTGCTTCTTAAGACGTGAACTTGTGCTTGCATGGAATGCTCTTGGCCTGGAGGTACATTGTGGGCAGTGCCTTCATGAACTTCACCAAATAATTTGCATCATTCACGTGGCCCTGGCCATGCTCCCTGTTGTCACCTGTTAAATTAATTTCTTGTTTGTTTGCTTTGAGACAAGGTCTCCTTATGTCCTTGTTGCCCCAGCTAGCCTAGAATTCCCTATGTAGACCAGCCTGGCCTTGATCTCCCAGAGATCTGCTGGTGTCTGCCTCCCAAGTGCTGGTATTAAAGGCTAGTGCCACCACGCCTAGCTTTGTAGCATTAATTTTTAATCTTTGGCCCCTTTCACAGCATTGTTTCTCCCCCTAGGGAGTGACAGCTATCAGATGCCTGAAAATGGGGGGTTTGTTGGTGGGCTCTGGAGCCGGAGTGCTAGTCTTCTGCAAGAGCCCCAGCTACAAAACCATCAAGTAAGTTCTGGGTCCCACAAAGCTGGAGTAGGTGGAGACTCACTAGAGGGAGGTTCTCTTAAAGCCAGAAACTAGAGGCTGGAGAAACGGCTCTGTTGTTAAGAGCATTGGCTGCTCTTGCAGAGGACCTGCCTTGGTTCCCAGTTGGTGGCTAACAACCATCCTTTCATAACTCCAGTTCTTGTGGATCTGAAACCCTCTTCTGACCTCTGTGGGCATTGCATGACATGGGTGCACTTACATACATGCAGGCAAAACACTTAATACACATTAAAGAAAAATTGTTCTTAGCAACCAGAGCATGCAATGCTTCTTTTCAGACTGCAATTGACCATGGGTAATTAACTAAAACCACAGGGAAACCACAGGGACTGAAATATAACATTAAAGGGGGACAGTACCATGGGGGAAAGGGAAGAGGGATATAGAGTAAGGAGAATTAGTCATTGAAGAGGCATGGGGACAGGTTGTGATTTTAAATTCAAAGGTCAAAATAGATCTCGTGCTGGGCGTGGTGGTGCATGCCTCCCAGCACTCAGGAGGCAGAAATAGGTAGATCTCTGTGAGTTCAAGGCCAGTCTGTTCTACATAGTGAGTTCCAGTCCAGCTGGGGCTACAGAGAGACCCTGTCTCAAAAATACCATTCTTGTTAGAATGATATTTGAGCAAGTTGTATATGTGTGTGAAAGAGAATAAGGAGGAAGGCAACCAAAAGACAGTGTCACGTACTCTGGATACATGAAGTAAATATACTTAACCAGCTAGCCAGATGTGCTTCCCTGTCTCTTCTGCTGGCACAGAACCCAGAGCCTTGCACTTCCTAGGCAAGCACTACTGAGCTAAGTTTCCATCCCCCAGCTACCTAGTTTTATTAAGCTCCCTCCCTGCCTTTCATTTGATAATTTTTTTTGAGACTGGGTTTCCCTGTAGCCCCAGCTGGCCTGGAACTCACCATATAGACCAGACTGGCCTCCATCTCACAGAGATCAGCCTGCCTTTGCCTCCCAAGTGCTCGGATTAAAGGGGTGTGTCACTACTCTGCCACCCCCACACCCTTTTTTGATATTGGGTCTTGTGTATCCCCAGTCTTCCTTGGAAGTTACTATGGTGCTCAAGGTCACTTCCATACCCCTGCCTCCTGAGTGCTGAGATTACAGGTGTGAGCCACCTCAGTCTAGCCTCTCACTGCAAACGTTTCTATTGTAATGACGATAATTAGATTCAAAGCAATTACTGCACGGTTTATGCTGCTTCCTAATCAATCCCACGTGACAGTGTAGGCTTAAACTGCACACAGTAGTTTCTACATTTATGGGTTTTGGCAAATTGATAGAACAGCTCACATGAGAAATCATGAGGACTAGAATGGGAGGCTGCTGAAGTTCCAAGATGCCTGGCCCTCCTCCTCACTGTAGGACTTACCCTTCCAGGATCACAGGTTCTGCAGCAGCCAGCATTCTTTGACTGTCTCTGAGGGGCTAACTTCCACCACCTCCATTACTTCTGATCTTCCCACTTCTGATCTTCCCAAAACCCTGGAGAGAAGTGATTATTCTGCGGTTGAAGGAATTCAAGTCAGAGGTTTCCCATAACTGGTCCAAAGTCATAGACCTCTGGTTACTGGAGGAACTACACTATGACTTGTGGTTTTCCTCTCTTTATTAACAGTCTGTATCTCACCAACAAATAGATCTTTCTAGAACATTGCATTTCCCCCTGTTTTTTTTGCACAAGAACCTACGTTTAATTCTTATTGTCTAAACTAAATTAATTACAGAACAATGTTCATGTGTATTTTCTTTCTCTTTAGACTTATTAACAATGTAGGAGATGAGAGAAACCTGAATTTATCTGAAGGTTCTGGCAGAAATGACCACTATTAACATTGTTTTCTGCTGGGATTGAACCTAGGACCTCATACATACTGGACAAGCTCAAAGAGGGGAAATCTCTTAGGTCCAACATTTTATTATTCTTTCTTGTCTTTGTTACTTGAATAAATCTTGAAATAGCTATGCTTATTTTACATATAATTTTTTAAAAAATATTTTAATTATTTCAATTTTATGTGTGTGTGTGTATTGCCTGCATGTAGGTAAGTGCACCTGTGTCATGCAATGCCTGCGGAGGGCAAAAGAGGCTATCAGATCCCCTGGGACTGGAGTTACAGACAGTAGTTAGCTGCCATGTGGCACTGGGATTCGAACCTGGGTCTTCTGCAAGAACAGCCAGTGTTCTTAACCGCTGAGCCATCTCTCCAACCCCTTACATATAAATTTATATGCAAGGGTCCTTTTTGCTTCATGTAAGCACCATGTACATTTTAAATATTACTACATTCTATTTTGACGATGGTGATATAACATATATAAACTACGTAATCATTGAAACATCATTTTAAAGGCTAGGCAAATATTCCATGAGCTGATGTCCCTTAAATCATTTAAACATTCTATTACCATTGGATACTGAAATTGTTTCCAACTTTGACAAGACTATATAAGAGCATCTTTCAATTTTAAAAAATTTATTTTTATTTTGGGGCTGGAGAGATGACTCAGCAGTTAAGAGCACCTGGCTGCTCTTGCAGAGGACCCGGGTTCAATTCTCAGCATCCACGTGGAGGTTAACAACTGTCCACAACTTCAGTTCCAGGGGAATCTAACACCTTCTGACTCTGAGGGTATTGCACGACATGGGTGCACTTATACTTAGGCAGGCAATACACTAATGCGCATAAAATAAAAATAATATGGGGCTGGAGATATGGCTCAGTGGTTAAGAACACCAGTTATTCTTGAAGAAGACCCGGGTTCAAATCCCAGCACCCACACGGCAGCTAACAACTGTCTGTAACTCCAGTCCCAGGGGATCCGACAGCCACTTCTGACCTCCGCGGGCATTGTACAACATGGGTACACTTACCTACATGCAGACAATACACGCATACACATAAAATAAAAACAGTAAATAAAATTGAAAAGTAAAAATAAAATATTTTTTTAAATAATAAATAAAAATGATTTCTTTTTATTTTGTGTGTATGAGAGTTTTTCTTTCATGTATGTAAGTGCACCCATGTCATGTAATGTCCACAGAAACCAGAATAGGGCATTGGATCCCCTGGAATTGGAGTTGTAGATAGTTGTTAGGAACCATGTAGGTGCTGGGAACCAAACCAAGGTCATCTGTGAGAGAAGCCAGTGCTCTTAACTGCTGAGCCACTCTCTAGACCCAACAGCACATTTTGACATAAAGGATCCCACTGATTTTAGGTTATCTTTCAGAAATAGGTTGCCCTGGACATTTGTACCCAGTAGTCTGTCTGCCTTGTACACCCCATTTCAGACCCAGCCTCCCTAATGGAGCTCTCCTTTACCCTGACCCTCCTTTCCTCACCCTGGGTGCACAACACCAGACAACTCAGGCCTGTCACTTCCCGGCTGTGTCACTTTCTTCAGGGCATGCCCCAAATCACAAGACTGATTTGAATCCTCTGCAAGGCTTGTGGTGGGCAAAACATTTGGTGGTGTAGTGATTCCACTTCAAAAGTGACTCACTTTTGTGCCTCTGCCTACAGGAAAATTCAGTTGCAGGGCGGCATTACTTCTATTACACTTCGAGGCGAAGGACACCAGTTTTTTGTAGGGACGGAGGAATCTCACATCTATCGAGTCAACTTCATAGATTTCAAAGAGACTCTCATAGCGACTTGTCACTTCGAAGCTGTCCAGGACGTTGTCTTTCCATTGTAAGCAGAAGAGGAACCGTAGAATATGGAGATTTCGTGTGCAATTTAATTTTAGTCGTGTACTTTCAAAAACCAGTAATATAATGATTCTTTTCTTCCTTGACTTTTTAAATGTACCAAATTATTTTAATGGACTTTTGTATTGTAAGAACCATGAAGGCACATTGGTTTTCTGCTTCCAATTGGGCTTCTTTAAAATGCTGACTTTGGGGCTAGAGAGATGACTCAGTGGGTAAAGTTGCTTGCCGCCAAGCCTGACAACCCAAGTTCAATCTTCAGGACCCATATAATGGAAGGAGAGGACCAGCTCCTATAAACTGTCCTCTGCCTTACACACACACACACACAGGACCAACTCCTACAAATTGTCCTCTAACCTCAACAAGCCTGCCTTGGCATGTATGAGCACACACACACACACACACACACACACACACACACACACACACAAATAAATGTAAAATGTTGACTTTTAAAGTAAATCCATCATGTCAAGGGTATATTCCTCTCACAGCTTTCCTGTGGTTCCCAATACCAACTGAAAAAGCATCGGAGTATCTTTTTCAAATTGTTGAGTTTGTTTGTTTGGGACAGGTCCTCATGTAGTCCAGGCTAGCCTGGAATATTGAACTCCTGATCTCTCTGGTTCTGTGTCCTGGGTGATGCGTACAGGCATGTACCCAGAAATATCTTTTTTCACTCTTCTTTCCAGACATTTGTAGGTCTCCCTAGGGTCCTCCAGATCTGGAAGGCTTTTTTGGTGGTAGACATGAGGCCCTCAGAGCAGAGTGGTTGCTTTTCATGGTAAATCTTCCCTGAGACAAGTATCCACCAGCACTTCTGACATTAAAAAGAGCTTCAGATTCTTGAAGCACTAGTTGATTTTGAAACTCATTTTTATCTTTGGCGAGATCTGTTCCATGAAGTTAGACAATTTTTTGTCTGAACTTCCTGTGTTTTGCTTGAACTTTGAAAACATCGCATCTGTGTTATACAGATGCAAGACTTATTTCAGAACTGAGTCCTTGGAATGCTGAATTATAGCTTTGGCTCCCCAAGTCCTTCTGTCCTGTTCTTACAATTTTTCCTGAGGGGCAAATACTGGTGCTTCCCATCAAAGTGGACTTGAAGGTGGGCCATTTCCTAACTCATTTTTACTCATTTGTCTTATTTTTAACTCATTTTTAAAAGGACTTTAATGAAATAAATATATACAATTTTGGGTTGTAGTACTTTTTATAAGAGTATATTTTAAGATTTAATTATTAATTTGTGTGTTTGTGTGCCAAGTGTGTGCAGTGCCCACAGAGGCCAGAGAAGGGCTTCGGATCCCCTGGAACTGGAGTTACAGGAAGTTGTGAGCCACCTGGTATGAGTGCTAGGATCAGAACTTAGGTCCTCTGGAAGAGAATCAAGTCTCTATCTAACCTCTCAGTCATCTGTCCAGTCTCATAAGGATGTATTTAAAAACGATAATTTCAGTTTTTTATATAGATGTCAACCTATTCAGATTTTGTATGGCTTCTTTTTCTTTGCTGTTTAAAATTTTATTTATTTATTTATTTGTTTATTATTTATTTATGTGTGTGTGTGTACAGGCAAACATGTGACATGGTTCATGTGTATTTTATTTTTATTTCTTTGTTTGTTTTTGGTCTTTTTGAGACAGGGTCTCCCTGTAGCCCTAACTGGCCTGAAACTCTATATGTAGACCAGGCTGGCCTTGAATTCACAGAAATCCACCTGCCTCTGCCTTCTCAGATTAAAGGCATGCACCACCATGCTGGGAAAAAATTTGTTTTTATTTTTAATTGTGTGTATGTGTATGTGACTGTGTATACTACGTGTATGTGTCTACAGGTGCCCATGGAGGCTAGAGGCATCAGCTCTGCTGGAAGCGGAAGTCACAGGTGGTTGTGAACTTCTTGACATGGGTACTGGGCTCAGTCCTCTGGAAGAACAAGTGCTCTTAACCTTTGAGCCATTGCTCCAGCCCTAGCTTTATTGGTAGTCTAGCTATGTAATTTTGCATTAATTTTAATGGTTACTCTAAAGACGGCAATATTCGTCTTAGATGTATCAATCCATTTAGAGTCGACATTTGTTTCAAGTAAAATACAGCAAAAGAATTTTGCAAGAGTACATTTCTTTAAACTCCACCCCAATCCTTAGTGCTATTGTTCTCGTAAATATACCTGTTGAGGGTGTAGGTCCATCAGTACAATATTGCAATGTTGTTTTAAATAATCATAAACAAGGGGCTGGAGAGATGGCTCAACAGTTGAGAGCACTAGCTGCTCTTGCAGAGGATCCAGCCCCCTTTCTGGTCCCAGTTTTCAGTAATACAGTCATTATCAAAAGATTCATTTGTCAGCCCATGAGTGTGGTTTCTCCATCTTCTAGTGTCTTTTTCAGTCTTTTTTTCTTCTCCAGAGTCTTAAAAGTCTTTTATATCCTTGATTGGGTTATTCCTAGGCATTTTAATCTAAAATTTTAAAGCTATTGTGAATGGTAGTCCCCCCTGCAATTTCATTATTGGCATATAGAAAAGCTACTGGTTTTCATATGTTGAATTTTTTTTTTTTGAGACAGGGTCTCCCTGTAGCTTCAGCCAGCCTGAAACGCAACATATAGACCAGGCTGGCCTCAATCTCACAGAGATCCGCCTGCCTCTGCCTCCCAAGTGCTGGGATTACGGATGTGTGCCACCATACGTGGCTTGTATGTTGATTTTTGTATCCTGCTGCTTTACTGAAAGTATGTATCAAATATGAGTTTTTTGGTGGGATCTTCAGGGTCTTTTAAGTACAGAACCATGTTGTCTTCGAATTAGGATGTTTTGACTTTTCTTTCTTTCTTTTTTTTTTTTTGTTTCTCTTTGTTTTCTTTCTCTTGTCTCATTACTTTAACCAAAACTTCAAGCAATATATTGAAAAAGACACAGGTAGGAAGTTAGTTTTGAAAGTTCTTTAAGGGGCCTGGAGAGATAGCTCAGTGGTTAAGAGCACTGGATGCTCTTGCAGGGGACCTGGATTCGACTCTCAGCAGTTACATGGTGACTAACAACCTTGTATAACTTGTAGCTTCAGTTCCAGGGGAATCTGACATCTTCTTCTGGACTCTCTTGGCATTGCACAACATGGGTTATATACAATTATATACATGCAAGCAAAACACCTATACACATAAATAAATAAATAAATAAATAAATAAATAAACAAATATATAAAAGTTTTCTAAGGGTATTCATTTCATGATATTTAACGTTCATGAATAATTTATATACCCCATGAGAGCTCACCTCTTTGAAGAAGGAACTCATTTACTGAAGGCAGTATTGCTATAGAATGTGTCTTATTTTAAATAGCTATTAACATTCTACTATTGACTTGATGTCTGTTAATCAGGAATGCTACTTCTCCTGTCTTGTTCCAGTACTTACTCTTTTTAAGTCCTGTGTGCACCACCATGCCCAACTTGGCTCATCATTTTTTTGAAATGTGCTTATAATGAAATGAGGAAATTGCTTGAGAAGTACTTAGATCAAAGGTTAGGTTTAGTTTTAGCAGAAACTAAGTAAAAAATTTAATTTATAAGCCAGATGGTTTATTTTACCCCAATGCTTTCCTCCTTTCTTTTTTTTTTCTTCTTAAAAAC